ATTGTAACGTTATTTCTCAATTTATTAATATGACAAAATCAGATTTGCGATTGACATGGCAAACGTTTTCTCTGACCTGCAATTTATATCATTTAATGGTGTGGAATTGATTATAATGTAGATATGTCTCTTATTAATTAATTTGAGTTGTTATTCTGTCATAATTCCTAATAATTTAATATTAAAATTTTGCATGTAATTCAATTATATTTTCTGCTGATGAAGGGTGCTGTATTATCAGAAACGTTTCAGAGTTATTTATTTTCTTAAGTTTTTTTAAGATTTTTAATAAATTATATCAAATAAATATAAAATGCATTAAAACAATAAGATCTGGTTTTTGCTCATTATATCTAATCTTTGCTTATTTATTGTATTGTTACTAATATAAACTCATCATTGTCATTACTATTTTTTTCTTCTCATCACGACCATGTAAATAATTTCTGAAAGTTAGAACTTTGACAGGATGTTTGATACATAAGAAAACTTTTCACAAAGTTTTTGAACAAAAAAAAACAGAATACATGCAAGGATATTAACAAATACTCTTTACAACTAGACATTTTGCTTTTGAAAAACTATATATATTTGACCTATACATATTTCAGGAAAGAAATAAAGTTATAATTTACAAAAATATTCTTTTCCATTTAAAATCAGGAATGAGAAGGAGATATATGCTAAGCTTCAAAAGCAAAAAAATATAATTTATGTGATAACAAAATTGATTAAAATTCATACTGAAAAAATCCTGGATATGCTCATGCAAATGTTATATGTATGTACACATACCTAGGAGCAACAGCTCGTGCCTTTTTGATACGTTTTTGCTTACGACGGATCTTCCTCGCTGGTTGATTAAACCAGGTCTTCACGTATCGTTGCCAATCCTTATGGAAATGGCCATTTGGGATCATATTATTCCCCTTACCCATGGTTGACGCCTAATATCTGCAACAGAATCAAAACTAAACATTTGCGTTTACATCACGTGAAACTTGAGATATTTAAATTAGATATTTTTATAATTAAGACACGATGTTTGGTAACTAATTTGTGTACGAAAAGAGAGGTTAGACTCTCTAATAAGCATAACAGCAGTTTACACACATAAATAATCCATATTTTACACAAAGCTAACGTTAGATACATTAAATTATTGAGAAAGAACTGCAACAGAGAAAAAAATCAAAGAAAACAAAAAGTTCACCAGCAGCAGTTTGACCCTGGATTCTAACCTCTCCTTCGCGGAGTAAACAGAATTCAAATCGAAAACAATTATCTCAATACAAGGATTATACATATGAGGCAAAAGCAGTCAGAAATATAAAAAGTTGCACATTCCCGTCGTTACATATTACACAGCATAAACGATGGTAATACCTCGTACAGATTTAATTCCTATGACATTCACTCACCAACTCACGCACACGAGACAAATCGGAAAAAGAACGTGAGACCGGCGGAAGTGGCACTTTTGCGAGTAGAAATCTCTCTGTCGCGCAGGAACAAAATCTTTTTACGCGTTTTTCGAAATTAATAACAATGTCAATAATAATATTAATAATATTCAAGGATAACTAATATTCCTAAGATTGACAAAGTAAACTATATTTTCAATCCATAAACAGTAATTCATCTACAGTTGTATAGAAAAATGGCAGCGCACGTAGCGTGAGCATGTGTGCTCAAGTGTGCTGGTGTGTGCACTATCGTTCAGTCTCACTTTGTTTATATGGAAAAAATCTGATTCTTAATGATGATGCAAAGATTATCTTATCCTCTCAAAATATCACGATGCAAGATACGAAAGTGTTTAAATAATTTTTTTCATCAATCGTTGCAACTGTCTACTGCCGATACGCTATTGGTACTTTTATTTAAATGTTTATCTCGTTGATTTTATGTAGAACGTTTAAACGTAAGACATAAAATTTGTTTAATTATTCTATTTTTATATTAGTCGTACATGTAATAATGATGAAAAAAATTTTCAATATTCAATAGCCGTCTTATGGAAGTAAATTTTATTAATAAAATAGGATTGAAGTTCGAAAATTGTTGTATCTCACTTGGAATGTTATTTATTAATGAAACATTGCTTTTCAGTCTTCAGTATATTCGATAAACTTGAAGAAGGCGACAGAGAAATATTGGGGTGATAAAATTAATCCTTGTAAATCCAGTGTTAATGAAGATGCTAAGGATAAATTTTACATTCTTTCTATGTTTCCATATCCGTCTGGTGCCTTGCACATGGGTCATGTTCGAGTTTATACAATAAGTGACACTGTAGCTCGATTTTATAGACTAAAAGGCAGGCCTCACAAAAACTTATAATATTGATTTATACGAGATTTAAAGAATAAATCTTTATAATGATATATTTAAAAAGTCATTTTTAATAATATAAAATAAATTTAGGTAAAAATGTAATTCATCCAATGGGCTGGGACGCCTTTGGATTGCCAGCGGAAAATGCAGCTATTGAAAGACAAATCAATCCTGCTGTATGGACAACTGAAAATATAGAGACAATGCGTAACCAATTAAAAACGTTAAATTATTCTTTTGATTGGGATAGAGAATTTGCAACCTGTGATCCAGATTATTATAAATGGACTCAAGAATTGTTTCTAAAGTTATTCGATAAAGGTTTGGTCTATCAAAAGGAAGCTTACGTTAATTGGGATCCTGTCGATCAGACTGTATTAGCCGAGGAACAAATAGATATAAATCAACGATCTTGGAGATCTGGTGCACTTGTTGAAAAAAAATTATTAAAGCAGTGGTTTATTAGAACAACAGCTTTTGCAAAGTAAGTTTGTGAATAATATGCAGATCATTATTGGAGGGTTTAAATGATCCAACCTTGAAGGAATGGAAAGATATTATAAAGTTGCAAAAACACTGGATAGGTGATTGTAATGGCATTAATATTGATTTTAAATTAGTATCCGAAATTCCAGAGTTTCCAAGAACATTAAACATATGGATTGACACACCAGAATTTGTAGAGTACGCAAAGTTTGTTGCTATATCCTCTCAAAGTATATTAAATCGTAAAGAGCATACATATAAAATAGATGTTGGAATATTGGGTTTAAATGCAAAAATAATAAATCCATTTTCCGGTGAAGAGTTGCCGGTTTTTATCACTGATAAAGTTGTTTACCCACCGTGGAGAGATGTTCGCTTGGGTATACCTTCGGTATCAATGGACGATTTAAAATTTTCGGAGTTAGTTGGAATATCATTACGAACAGCAACAGCAGAAGATATCCGAAGTATTCCAAAAAGCTAGAGAATGGGGTATAGGCGGATATCCAGTAAGCTCAAAATTACAGGATTGGTTAATCTCTAGACAAAGGTATTGGGGTACACCTATACCTATCATTCATTGTACAAATTGTGGCACACAACCTGTACCTCGTAATCAACTTCCTGTGATATTGCCAAAGATGACGCACTCAAGCTCGAAAAGGTTCTCGATTCAAGATATGAAGGATTGGTTGCAGACGAAATGTCCCAAGTGTGGAGGAAATGCTACTAGGGAAGCCGATACAATGGACACGTTTGTAGATAGTAGCTGGTATTTTCTAAGATTTATAGATCCCAAAAATACAAAAGAGATGTTTTCGGTAGAAAAAGTTAAGGAAATGTTTCCCGTAGATCTCTATATAGGTGGAAAAGAACACGGTATAATAGTAACATTTTCTTAATTACTGTACTTCGGAATTTTTGTAAGGTTAAAGTATTTTTTACAAATTTTATCCCTTTTAGCCGTGTTGCATTTATATTTTGCCCGGTTTATGAGTCATTTTCTGCACTCGGAAGGTCTTTTACCATGTCGAGAACCATTTAAACAACTCCTCGTGCAAGGAGTAGTAATGGGTAAAACATATCAAAATATAAATACTGGTAAATATATACTAGAAAATGAAGTATTGAAAGAAGGAGATCAGTACAAAACGAAATCTGGAGAATTCGTCTCCATGCGCTGGGAAAAAATGTCAAAATCAAAGCTCAATGGAGTTGATCCTCTCAATCTGTTGAATAAATATGGAATAGATACGACAAGATTATTAATACTGGCCGATGTTGCACCAACGTCCACTAGAAATTGGTCAGAAAATAGTAAGTTTCTTAAATTATAGTCACTCGTTTAAATGTTCTTATTAGAACATAATATATTTATTCGTAATTGCAGCTGTTACAGGTATACAAAATTGGCAAAATCGTCTTTGGACTGTTGTTAAACGATTTAAAATTGAACGCAACCAAATATCTCTGAAGGAACTCGAAAGCAAACCTACTAATCCTAAATACATTGAACAGGATGCATACATGTTTGACAGCCGAAATTATTTTCTCAAAAACGTGACATTTAACATAGTAGAATCGCAGCAACTTAGTGTAGCAATATCTCGACTGCAAGGCCTTACAAATAGGTAAATAATTATATTTATACTTTTTAGTAACTTCGTGCACAGTGTAATTTTAATTTTTAATATTTGAATATATACACATTGAATAAATCTGAATCTGTAATTATAGCTTACGAAAAGTTGACTTGGAGTGTCTAAGAAAAAGTCGCGAATTCGAGCGAGCGTTAGCTGTTCAAATTATAATGCTCGCTCCATTCGCTCCACATTTTGCTTCTGAGTTATGGGCTATATTCTGTTCTGCTAAGTATCATCTTATAGATAATACTGAAGTTGACTTAAACAAAACTATATTTGAACAGAAATGGCCAGATATTGACATGGATTATAATCTTGTAATGAATGTTTATGTAAGTATGATATGTATGATTCCATTATTAAAATATAAATACATGAAAAATCAAGGTGCTTACAAAATTGTACATATTTCTATTTTTCAAATTTTAATTGATTATATTTATATGTAAACATCATAGGTAAACCAAAGAAAATTTCTCAAAATGAAGGTTCCTCGAGGTGAATTGGATAAAATGGCGGCAGATACAGCGTTAGAATATGTGGTCCTCCAGCCATATTATCAAAAATATGCGTACAATAAAAATGTTGTAGATGTCAATTTTAAAGCAGAGAAAAGCTGTGATGCGTCGTTATACATAACCATGGAAAAACAAAAAGAAGATTAGATAAAAAATAACATTATTTTAATTTGTACACATAAGATATTGATAAAAATTTATTATATTTATTAAGACAGAAATATTTATTACAAAGAGAGACAAAAAAGTTTTTTCAACTAAGATGATAGTTCAACTTGCTTACCTAATGTCGTATTTGCCTTCATATCCATTATCTGGAATAGTTTTCAAGAATTTTATATAATCAGTGGGAAGTTTGTTTTCTTCGGCCCCTTTTAATATCGTATTTCTGCAAGAATCATGGACAATTTTTAAAGAAAAATTTTAAGAGGTTAAAGATAAAAATAATTGTGTTCAAATTACTGCAGTTGTTTTTTAAATTGCATATGACATACAGGTATAATGGTGAAGGTCTCTTATCCATTGGAAAGTCTTCTGGCTTTATATATTTCTTTGGATTATTACATTGCTGGTACACTCGACAATTTAGAGTTCTACCATCAGGAGTTTCAACATTTACTGACATTGCATGATATATATTATCTTGAACACCTTCCTGACAGTCTAATGTAGCTAAATTGCACTTGTCTAATTCCCAGACTACACCCCATACCGCTGAATGTTCTGTTTCTACAATTGTGGCAGATGTTCCATGCCATCGTTTAGAATATCTGTAAAAATCCAGCCTAAAATTCTGTAATAAAAATATATAATGTATTATTTTATATAAATATACTGTATATATGTAATAAATATATTAATATATAAACAACATAATGTATAAATGTAATAAGATTAATATTAAGATTTTCTTGTTTGTGCGTTCGAAGAGAAATTTAATAAGTTTAATAATTTATAGTTGATAGTATGCACTATCTGGGTATCAATCATAAAACTTTATCCCTAGGATGGAAAATGAAACGTGAAAATTTTAACCATTGAAGTTGATGGAAAAATTTTTCACTTTTCATCCTAGGAAAAAAGTTTCATGTGTGTGGTTGACCCTGTTTATATAATTTAAGATTTTTATATTTTATGAATATATATTCATAGATATCTCTAAAAAAAAAAAAAGATTAAACAAATATTTTCTTTAAATAGATATTTTAAAATGAGGTAGTCTGTATCGTTACTCTGTCTTTTATAAAGTTTTACTTCATATAGTATACACATATATTTTATTTTTTATTTAATGCATATTAGTTTTTAATTATTAATTAAAATTATATGTATTCTCTAAGAATTTTTTCAGAATTTTTTATTAACTTTTTAGTACTGCATTTTCTTATTTTTATCAACATGAGAAAATATAGTATTAAAAAATTCTGAAAAAATTCTGAAAAAATTCTTAGAACTTTATGAGAAGAAAATAAATGATTTTTGTCTCTTGCAGCTTTTCTATAAAGTTAATAGTATTTGAATAAAAAATTATTCAAGACCAATATTTGGCAATTTTTAATAATTAATATCTTGTCAACTATTGCGAAAATTGCAAAATAATAGAGAACTTTTCGACTCAGTTTAGTTCGCTCTATCTATACAAAAGCGATTGGCAAAAACTTTCGGGACACTCTGTATATATACATAGGGTGAATGTTAATGCGTCTGTACCGACTGCAGCTATGATCATTTAAACAGTGTATATGTAGATGGTTATCAGTGGGTGCTTTCGAGCAAGGACACAGACACAGTAGCTGCGGTCGATTTGGACGCTCACGCGCTTTAAGCGCTTAATCATCATTCTGTCTTTATCATTAGACGTAAAATAAGAATAGAAGTATTGAAAAGTGCCGAAAGCGTCCAAATCGACTGCAGCCAGTGAATCACAGTATAACAATATACATATCCACATAAAGTTTGGAATAAATCCCACATTAAATCAACCAGTACTTTGTCAATCAACAAACTTGGAGACATGGAATAATTTAAAAGAAATATGTATACATCTTGATTTTCTTTTCTTAATTACCTTTATGTAACCAATATCTTTCATTATTGCGGTCGGATTACATAAATGTATCCTCTTAGTGCATAAATTACTCCCATAAGCGAAATACAGAAACGTGTTTGCCATTTTTCAGACTGATCCAAACTGGTCTTGCAAACTTTTCACAAATAAAGGATCTCTTTCACCAATCTCGGTTAAGTTAACCAACGGTTACATAGGACTCATTTAGGCCCAGTTTCACAACTTATTATTACTTAAAATAAATTAAACTTCGGTTAAAAAAAAAAAGGTTAATCATAAATTGTGAAACTGGACTTAAACGAGTCCCATGTAACTGCCAAAGTTAACTTAAGCAAAGTTGATGAAATCCAAAGTAATAAAATGTTTCGCTATCACACTACTTGACACTATTGTATTACTGCTACTGTCAAAATGACGACGAGGACGAGTCGACGAGCGTACATATATATAAAACACTGTGTGTACAAAATATATTGTGTATGTATCCACAAAAGATAAGATATGTCATGGTTCTTCCACCTGTATACAAATATAATCTATATCTTATGTGCACAGTGACAATTAAGTTGTCAGTAATAATAATCCTAAAGAAAGAGGACGCGCTCCTCGCCTCTCACGAGCGCCGTTTTGGTTTCTACGGTGACACTACGGTCTATCACTTGATTAACTTTTATCTGTCTAATTGATCAATGACATGAATTTCTGTCATGATTCACAGTGTCAATAAACCCAGGAATCGATTTGAAGTGCGTTTTGTAACCTAAACTCGACCGATCACATCCGAAGCGTTCGGTGAGTTCGTGATTGTATTCGGTCGAACTCTGAGAGCTTTTCGTAGCTCTCTCTCGTTCTGTCTCGACCGTTTTCCCTTTTTTTCTTTCTCTATCATATTTATCATCGTGGCGGCACTGGCGACCATCGTGGACGGCGTGGACTGCAGAGTGCAGGCTGCACTTCTGCCACTTCTGGACACTTTGCAGAGACATTCGGAACATTTGACGGCGTGGACAGTGGACTGGCGTAGGCCGCATGGATACGGAACAATTCAGCGGGATAACGCCGCTGGAATAGCTTGGAGGTGTTTTTTCATAAGCTAAGTCGTAAATCGTGTGGAGGTAAGGCAGGCTTGAATACACATAGCATAATTACGTTGTTTATCATCCCATCTGTCTTCCCCCCCGAACGCTCTGTAATAACATGTTCTCCGCGTCAATCACCCCCGCGTCTCTTGGTCTCTATACTTTGCTTGTTTTTAAGGCCCTTGTTTGAATTTTTGATCCACTACGAAAGATTACAGTACCATTCGACAAAAGATCAAGGATCCAGTGATAATCTTCTCGAGCAGAAACTTCACTTGTTCAAGACTTGCAATTATTATAGTACCGTATCGATTCAAAGTTGATACTCAAATAGGCCCGTTTCATATATTAAGCCTTCTAAAATCTAATCAGATTAAACAGTGAGTTCCTTAAGTATGATATAAATAGAATATAGTCACCACATGAAAAACCATGTATGTGAGGCATGAATGGAATCAAACCTGGATCCTCGGATGAATAGACCAAGTGAGGAGCCATTCAATGTCTTTCATCCCTTTATTGTTATTTTTCCAAATGACAAGGTTTTTTTATGGCGTGAAAAATTATTATAAGGTTCCTAAAGATGAAATCAAACACGATGTTCGATTTCTTGAATGATAATGTGTGATTCTATCTTAGACTATGTTCAGATTCTCATCCGAGTGCCACCCAGGTATCACTCTATCATTGTTATTTATCAAATATTAAACAGGGATGACATGACACCTAGAGAACACCCGAGTAAGAATCTGAACACATTTCTTAGGAATAAGGAGACAGAAAGAGAGAAAAAGTGTATTTTTACTTGATGCTACAACATTTATTTATAGCTTCAAAACAGGTCATGCGATTAAAATTGGCGAATATTGAGCGTTATTTTCTGACCTGAAAAGAATGTAAAAATATAAAGAGAGATGTGCATTCCTGATTTTCAATGTTTTTCGTTAGAACGAATGTTTAATAAATATAAAAATCATGTAAATATATGCAGCATGCAGCGCTTAATGTATAAACAAATTGTAGCATATATCAGAGCAGACATAATTATGCAAGTTATCATTCAAGAAATCGAGGATTGTATGATTCCATCTTTAGGATCTCTTTCATCAACTTAAGTAAGTTAACATTGGACAGTTACATTGGATTCATTTATATCCGTTTCCACCAACTTACTCTTCGTCTTTTTCTAATTCTAATAAAAAAAGATTAGAAGTTGAAAAGAAGTTGAACCGAGATTAAAGTTAATCTATGTTGGTAGGAATGGGCATTAGACCCAGTTTCATAATTCATGGTTAACCGAAGTTTAATTTATTTTAAATAATAATGGGTAATAATGAGTAATAATGAGTTGTGAAACTGGGCCTAAATAAACCCTATATAATTGTCGGTTATTTAACCAAGATTGATAAAAGAGACTCTTTAACAGGATTGCCACAGATCTGGAAAACTAGGAAAACCGGGAAAAGTCAGGGAAATTGAAATTGTTCGTGGAAAACCGGGAAAAGTCAGGAGAAAATATAAAAAAGTCTGGAATTTTGAAATTTGCTCACAATTTCCTTAAACTGCTCCTATTCCAGATAATTGTTATAATTTTTTAATATTATATTTGACGTTTATAGTGAAATATGTTCAAAACTCGCACACTTTAAACGATTTTAATAAAATAATTAAAATTTATATTTTATTCAGTTTTATTTGATTACCCTTTTTCGTATTGCATTTTTTTCCAATACTAATTTATTTTTTGTTGGCTTGAATTTGCACCAAAAATTTTAACATGCTACTAACCCTTTTTGCGTTGTTTTCAATAATACAGGCTAGCTTTCCCACAATTCTTGACTTTATATATGTTAAAATTTACATATTTTATATTGGAAAATTTTCCATTTTCATCTGGAAAAGTCAGAGAATTTTAAAATTTATTTTCTGTGACAATCCTATTTAAGAATTAAAGAGAGAGAAAGAGAGAAAAGATGTATTTTAACCTGATGCTGTAACGTTCATTTTTAGCTTTAAAACAGGTCATACGATCAAAATTGACGAATATCAAGCTGACCTGTTCTGACCTGAAAATGAGTGTCGAAAAGTCAGGTAAAAATGCAACCAAAGAGAGATGTGTATTCCTGATTTTCAATTTTTTTTCATTGAAACGAATGTTTCAAGGAAGAAAAGCGCGGATTGTACGATATTGTGATAAAGCATATATTTTCATGATAATTTAAAAATAGTATATAATATTTTAATTTAATTTATTATGGGCAGATATTTTTAAAATTATGTTTTTGGAATTTGTGTATATATATATATATTGTGGAAAATTGTACAATTTTATGTAAAAATAATTGCATTTATTGAAGCTGTTTTCATCAAAAGAAGGAATGATAGGAGGTCTGTTTTCTGTAACTGAACCAGTGTACACTTAAGGATTTCGATTCTTTCCCTCGAAAATTTTCACAAATTGAGAAATGATTACTTTTTTACATTAATGCTCATAATCCGTGCATGACTAAACTTTATGTCCGCTTACAACTAAATTTGACATAAAGACGAAATAACCTGAATTTTTGCAAGTTTTAAAAAAGTAACCGAGGGAAAGAATCGAAGGCCTTGGGTGTACACTTTTGGAACTTAAAGTGAAATAGGTATATATTTGTCGAAAGCGAGAAAGAGAGTTCTAGTGCAATCTAGTGCAGAAACAGAAAACAGATCATTTACGATTTTGCTGTTGTGTATCGATCATCATTATATTGCACATTTACAAATTATACAATTACATACTATCATTTTACTATCATACTATCATTTAATTTTTCACTGAATATTTTTACATCACAGAAATGCCGCCTACTAAGAAGGGAGACTTGGATAAGTTAGCATGGGCATGGATAGAATCCATCAGTCCAGACGAGATTGAGAAAACACATTTAGAAACTGCATATAGAATTGGATTAAAGAGTTGTAAAAATTGCAAGTAAGTTGGCAATTATTTTGTAAGAATAAAAGATTTGTACTCAACTATACTAATACTGCAAAGTTTACTATGTAGAAGAGATAAAGGGATAGACAATACTAGCTTAACATAAACTTTTATTTCGCACATGGAGAGACATGAGACTTTCCTTAGCATGCCACTTTCTTTTTCGTTCTGCCTTTTTTTCTGGAAGTCCCTTAATCTTCGGTTTTCTCCATGATTGAAGAATATAAGGTGACCAATCAAATGTCTGCCGCAAATGTTCTAGTTTAGCAGCAATTGCACCATTATGTGCAATGTCTCACCTTATATTCTTCCACCATGGTTTTCCCAAGGTTTGTCTGTCCTGTAGCTATGTTACTGCTGTGCTGCCATGATCACGGTTTAATTCTGCAAGATTTAAGCTGCATTCAGGAATACACACAGACTGTCTTCAAGTATCATTCTATTCTTGTTATTTACCAAATGTTAAACAAGGATAAATTGATACCTGAAGGTATTCAGTGTATATTCCCGCAAACACACTAAAAGGAAGTTCCGTCTGACTTTCCTTCCTTCTATAACTGTAAATATGTATTCTTATTAAGCGTGTTATCTGTTTCAGACGTAATTGCACCTATAACCCCCAATGTCTGACAGGTTTAGGAGAAGACAAATATATGAAGTCTCAGCCAGCCGAGGTAGTGTCTTTAGAAAGTTCCTTATCAGAGTTACGCGACCCGACCCAATATGTTGGCTTAAAGAATCTAGGTGCTACTTGCTACGTCAATAGCTTAATTCAAATGTGGTTTCACAATGAAGACATGAGGTATATGTATATATATATATATATATGATATATATTAATTAAAACTGAATCTTTTGTATATATGTTGCATTATCTTGATAAATTTAATATACCAACAGGAGAATAATATACAAATGGGATATTACGGAAGATCCAGAGGAGAAGGAGGCATTGTGTCAGTTAAAGAAAGCAGGAGTACCCTATCATCCAGTAACTGCGGTTGGCCAATTGCAGTATCTTTTTGCAATGATGCAATTCGGCAATAGGAGCCTTCTTGATCCAGTCAATCTCGCTATTGCGTTATCCTTGGATACCAGAACGCAACAAGATGCTCAAGAGTTCTCCAAATTGCTATTGTGCCATATCGAAGGAAAGCTACAGCAAAACTCAGAACTGGAGCAGATGCTGCAGAGGCTGACTCAGGGAAAATACAGCTATATCAATAGGTAGGTTTTTTGAAGTGGAAACAATGAGAATTTTCCTAAACAATGATAGTGCTGATAATTTTTACATTGACAACATGGTTGGACACGTTGCTCGCTATAATGACTGACGTTATCAACTGATTCAGTGAAAAGTGAAATGACTTTAATGGATAATTAGAATTTTATTTGATGCAGTTG